GGTCAAATCAGATTCTTCAATTAACCCTTTGAGCAGACTACTTATGTATTAAAAATATATAACTACTGTGGGTTTCAAGTTACCAAGTCACCTCTTGATAAACTCACAAATGAAAGTTGCTCTCATGCACAAGGCATTCAGCACCACCATGGCTTTGCCCTCTGTTCCTCCCCATTGCCCCCACTTTACCTTCATCAGCTGCCTTAGATTTGTCTCTGAGAGGACATGGGTTTCGCAAATCAACAATCAATTTCCTTTTTTTAAAAATGGGCTAGTTCTTCATATAATGAGAATCTTCAGTTTAGAGACTCATGAGACATGATCAAATATCAAACAGGCTCTCTCTCTCTTATTTTAAATTAGAGATGGGACATGGTGAGTGTATTATTTCTAATATGAACTAATGATTATTAAGCCAGCTATGTGACCAGATGAGTCTGTTTCATGGATGTTATGAGTTCTAGGATAAATATACCTCATGTACTACATTTATTAATACCAATTTTTAAAAAGATTTCTTTATTTATTTGAGATGGAAAGAGAGCAAGCATGGATGGGAAGGGCAGAGACAGAGGGAGAAAATCTCAAGCAGACTCCCCATTGAGTGTGGAGCCTGATGTGGAGCTTGATCCCATGACCAAGATCATGACCTGATCCAAAGCCAAGAGTTGGACACTTAACTTACTCTGCCACCCAGGTGCCCCTAATATCAATAATTTTTGATCCCACTAAGTAACTTCATAAGAAGGTGAGGTAGAGAAAAGCCTATTTTCTGTGATTTAACTTTTTTTATTTTTTAAGATTGCATTTATTTATTTGACAGAGAGAGAGGGAGTGAGTGAGCACAAGCAGGGAGAGCTGGAAAGGGAGAGAGAGAAGCAGGATCTCTGCTGAGCAGAGAGCCAGATGTGGGGCTCGATCCCAGGACCCTGAGATCATGACCCGAGCCAAAGGCAGATGCTTAATTGACTCAGCCACCCAGATGCCTCATGACTTAGCTTTTTACAACTCCTAGGTGATTCATAAATTTGGGCCATCTCCCCCTGGGTATGAAACTATGCACACTCCTTGCTTGGGAGTATCTATCTGAAGACCAGTGACTGTTCCCTGTCTTGGTTATTTCTTCAGGCTGGGTCCTCTGAGGACCCCTTAGTTACATGAACTCCACGTGCTCCAAAAGCCGAAAATGTACAGTGTTACTTGGGCCCATTTTCTGATGTCACATCAAAATGACTCAATAAGAGTCGGCCCCATATCAGACTGAAATTGGATCATTGCTTCTTCACAGCTTTGTTTGATCTTGATGTTAAGATATTTGGAAAGAGATCAATAATCATCAGATGTCTCAAGTCTACTGAAAAAATAATTACACAATATTTAACTGGCGTCATAGCATGACAGGATGGTGTTTCTTGAAATACAGAATGATGATAGTTATGCTGTCTTTAACTCAGGATGGGGAGAAGAACCTGACATCCCTCTCTTTGTGTGTATAAGTGAGTGTGTAAGTATACCTGTAACTGGGTATAATGTATAAATATATCATATATAAAGTAGATATAACCTTACGTATGTTTTATATATAGTAAAATATATGTAGTAAATATAGTTATATATTAAATTATATGTTATTAAATATAATAACACTATAACAATAAATATATATGCGTATATAAGCATATTTATATATATAATATACACTTTCTCTGTCCCATACTAATCGAAAAAACAATTAAAAAAAAGGTGATCTGAATCTAGAAAAGTTGCCACGGAGATTCCAAGTAATTTCACTTCAAACTTACTAAATCAAACAATTTCCTACTGAATAGAAATGAACTGTCTCAGTAGCTTTTATGAAACAGTAATTTATTTTTTTGAAAATTCGTTAATTGGAATTCCCTGTAGTGGCTAACCTCTCTTTTTACCAGTTTGGCAGGTGAATCTCTTTCTTTTCTGTTTCTCTCTCTTTTTTCTTTTCTTTCTTTCTTTTTCTTTAATTCTTACTCATTTGTATAATTGGCATGCCAGGTCCTTTGAGAATGTGACCCAAAATGTCAACTAAAAGCAAGTATATAAATATGTATGTATAAACCTTCAATATCTTGCTTTTATTTCATCAATAAAATCAAGCAAGATATTGAATATCTTGCACCTACTTTTATTGAACAGCTATAATATAAGCACTTGTCAAGGAAGAGATGCTGGTGGGAGGGGCTGTGGGACAGGGAGAAAGTGTGAGCTGAGATTGTGTCAAGTGTAGTTTTACTGAGCAACAATAAAACCAGAGGAATGTTGCCTTTGACGATGATCACGTTCCCTCTTCCTGGAGATCCAGTTTTGCCGGCCACTGTCGCCAGTAGGAGTTTTATGTTTTCTACAAGATAGTCGATTTTCAACGGGTTTACTCCATTGAAACAAGTTTCCAATTTGCTGGAATAAAATATATTGAAAGCCCCCAGTACATGTAATTTAGATTTTATAACTGCGTAAGCCATTTCATATATATATATATATATATATATATATATATATATATATATATATGTAAAATTACCAACCTGAAAAAATCATTTGTCAAATTAATAATTTTATTTGGATTCAGAAAGTATATCGTGATTGTCCAAGAGGCAGAGGAAGCCCTGGGAGGGCTTCCTGCTTCCATGCATGAGGATCATGTACTTTGCATTTGCACCTCCTGGTTGAAATGCTAATGCACTTGGGGGCTCCTCTGGTTTGAATGAGTTTATCACCTGTCTCAGTGAACTTAAGGATACTTTGCGAGCATGACTTTGGAGGAGTGAGGGCAGAGAGCACCACCGGTGTGAGGGAGGAGGGGCAGCCCCGGAGGTTGGGCGTCCACGACTACTCAGCTCCTTAGGAGAACACTTCTGACCTATGCAGGCCTTTTGCAGCCTGGCTAAAAAGACTAATTTAAGACTAAATTGTGACATGATGGGGACAATTTGGTGTGTTGGCCTAGCATAAGAAATACCTTTTAAACAAGATGCCAAGAAAAAAATAAATAAATAAAGTCACATTGTCAGTTTCCACCCCTAAAACGAAGCTTTTCCAAGCGTAAGATCAGTTTCTATGAGGGCTGTGGCACCACCTGTAGTTTTTCAGAGAAATCCACATTATCAAAAAACGTATTTATCTGGTCATTACTAACTATTGATATCTGTCTAGAAGGGCACCAATGGGAAATGATCTATTTAAGAATCACTTTTTGGGGTCCTTATATTATTTTTGTTACTGTCTGTAAGCCTGGACCTGGCCTCTAAAGATGCCAATCTTCGGTTCTGATGAGATACAGCTTCTAGTAATCCCTCGAGGTTCACATGATCAATACTAGGCCGTGAACATAGGACAGATGACAGATGAGATGGGGCACCAATCGGCACATGGAGCAGGGAGGCCCATGGTCAGGAGAAACCCCAACATGGGCACAGACATCCAGAGTTCCAGCGACCAGCCTTGTCGCAGGGGCCGGGTGCTGGGGGTCCATAGGACTTCTGGCTGCAGAGTGGAGCATTGAAAGGTTCTCACTTAAGTGATAATTTAAGGAACAATTCAGTGACAGATATACACCATTTTGACCCTCCAGCCTTCACGAAACCAGCGGAACAATGAGCAGGGAAACAAGTTTCTTCAAAAACAAGCGGTGTGCGTTGGGGGTAAGGGAGCGTGATATGTCATCTTATCACAATACTTGACTTCCTCTTTAGAGTCTGACAAAACTTCTATATTTTCATAGGACCTCCCAGAAGCAAACAGACAATATAGGTGGTGGGGGGTGGGGTGGAGAAAAGGAAGCTAAACAATAATGTGCTAAATTTGAAAGACACATAACTTTTCACATGATACCAAACCTTTCCCAAACGCCGCAACGTTCCTGGCCTTGCTTTGTTCTCCAATCTTCCAGCTGAAGCCAACCCCGAGGAAGTGGTATCATCAGCTTAATTAAAAATACTTCCTTTATCTTGGCTGCACAGTGACCTGTGTGTGTTCTTCGTCTTGGCTGGCCTTTACCGAACGGAGTGATTCAAGTTCTTAGAAGAGATTGTTGCTAGCGTTACAATAGCTGATGGCTGAGGAGCCCCTTTCACACAGGCTCTGCTGGGAGCCGTAGTGCAGTTAGGTAAACAGTGATCTCATTTTGAGTCATGCAGTTTTACTACATCACCGTGAAAGGTAGCAACGAGATAGGAGGTAGCTGTCAACTGACTTACTCAGTTTGTTTTGGTGTTGTTGTTTTTTTTTTTTTTTTACCTCTTATGGAGCTAAGTCTGAGGAAGCTGGAAACATTCCTGTCCACTTAATATTTGTCACTATACAAGCAATGCTTGCTCATTAACTAATTGTAAAAGAGAGAGAAGGAAAGAGAAAGAGAGAGAGAGACGTTACTGATAATCCCTACACTTGCAAACACTTTCTATTTTTCTTGACTCTGAGACACATTTAGGAACTCTCATTATTTTTGAAGATTTCAAATAATCCTACGTGAGGACGCCTCCCAAATCTGTCCTGAACACAGAAGGGTGATTAAAGCCCCAAATATTTCAGCTGGGTTAAACTTTGACCAACCCAGGTGACCAGCTCGGCGATCCTAAAAAACCTTGTGGAATACTTTGTGTCGGCCAAGACCACACACCCGGATTCCTGGCGCAGGTTTCCTGTTTGTAATCAAACATAACCCCAGATGGTTTGCTTTCCTAAGCATTCGAGACACATTCTTCTCATTTGAAAGCTTTCTGACTTACTCAACAACCCCTGTATCTCAACTATGTTAAAGATACATAGAAAAGAGATGACATCACAGAGCTGATTTCGGTCTTTCAGCTCTGTGCTTAGCTAAAGTTGAGCAGTTGCAATGAGTCATGCAATCTTGTGACCGGCCGGGCGCTCTTCCAACCAGAGAGACAGTTAAGATCTCTGACAACAGAACCTGTAGTTGTTTGAAGAGGAGGTAACAACAGGCCCTGGACACTCGGTGATCCCAGGTTTGTGTGAGTAACAAAATGTGCTCCTATTCCCTCTGAATAACAAGGCAGCGATGATGAGGTAACACTTAGCAAAGCTGACTCATTTCCTCATTTATAGATGAAAGGGATGGTTCGAGAAATGATTATCTCACAGGTAAGTGATGGTTCCTTCAGGTAATACTTGCCAAGTCTCTTTATAAAGCAAGGCTCATCATAACGTTGGCTCGTTGGTTATTTTGTCATGAGACCAAGTCAAGCGTGAAAAGCCAGGTCCGTTCCTATCCTTGAACTACGTGAGAACTGCTGATTTCGGGTGATATCCAGAGGAAAGGGCTTGTGGAAAGCCTGTGTAAAAATCAGGGGTAATGATTGAAAATTGAGAAATAAAAATGTGGACTTAATGTAAATTTCTTTTTGTTTTCCACCAGATAACATTTTGTACTGGTGATGCTGGATGTCCGTGTGAGACATCTGTGGCTGGGGCTGGACGCCCCCCTCCGTATCTAGGGATGCCCCCCTTGCATGGGGACTGGGACTGTGGGATTCCAGCCACGTCCTGTTGACTTGAACCGACTCAGCAGGCACTGCCATCCTGGGAAACCAAGAAACCTCCTCGTCTCTGGCTTGCTGCGATCTCCTGGGCTTTATAATCAGGCTGCCTTCACAGACACATTCCTCAAAGCTCGTTTGGAGCATACATATTTTTAACACAAGAAGCCTGTTGGGAGAAAAACACGAGATGAATGTATTCCTCACCAAAACTCGTAACTCTTTGCTTCCTCCACTAGCTTTTACTAGGACTTGACAAAAATGGAAATAGTCTCTCTAAATAGGAATTTGTTATTTTCATTCATTTATAACACGTGAACTGCCCTCTGTTGCCTCTTTCCCTACTTGGTCTGCCTTCCTTTGAATTCTCGTGTAATTTTAACGGTTGTACAATTCTTTGTGTTGTTGGGAAATCACTAATTGTGAAACATGTTAAACTGAGCACATTTAAAAATAACCTAGCCTCTCCTACTGTTTGGGTAGGGCCATTTGCTTGTTTGGGGTTGCTAATGGGAATAAGTGACCATGTGTGCAGTACCTCTCGAGCCAGCTTGTTTGCTCAGAGGAAAGAATTCATTGAAAAGCCATAGACTACATTCCAGAACGTTGGCCAACCACTTTGCAAAAGTATACTGTTGGGTCACAGCAAGGCGCGCCATCGCTCCTGGAAAAGCAACTCCAAATGTCTGCCTGGGGGACAGAGATCTTGTTGCAGGATGTCCATATAGGCAATGCTACTACGCATTTTTATTAGTGGTTCTTCCCTGCTCCTCCTAATAAAATGCTATTGGAATATTTAGTCTCTGGAAGTCCATGTGACTCTATTTTCTTCAAAGTTACTTCTTATGTTTTGCAATTAATTGTCCCAATGAACTTGATCTAAATATTGTGTTTCAGGGTCAGGGTGGGGGTCATTTCAACTACTTCAGGACCTGGAAGAGATTCGTCATGTTGTATTTTTCCCATTCCTTGCTAACAAATGACGACATGATGGTTCTGCCTCTGGAAGCTGAGAATCTGCAGAGGCATCGAGTTGGTCTGCAGAGAGGATGCGAGTTGGCCCGGCAGGTGCGATGCTGCACATCCCACTCCCCCCACCCCCATTGATCTGTTGTATAAATTGGACCACTTGACTTTGATCTGCTTTTATACAAGAGTTTGTTTTAACACAAATGGATAAATAAATGTGTTTGAAAGTTGTTTAGAAGGGGATGTCAAAGCAGAGCCCAGAAAGAGGCTGGTGCAGCCTCCGCTGGCCATTCGGAAGTCAGGACAGGGCTTAGGGGACATGTGGGCCTGTCGACGTCCTTCCTCCTCCAGATTCTCAGTGTCTGACCCATAAGGCAGCACAGAGAGGGTCACGTCCTAGTGCTTGGTACACCCAAGTAGAGCCCAGATGCCTCCTCAGCCTTCTTCCCCCCATCCCTCTCTCTTGACTCTCTCAGTGCTCTATGGCCTTAGCAGGTGGTGGGACTCTTTAGGACTCAGACTTTCTGTGATGGGAACTGCCAAGGTGGCAGGAAAGCTGTCACTCCTCTCACCTGGTAATGGTGACCTCTCTCTCCCAAGCCCATAAGCCTGAGATCCCGAGAGCACGTTTTCTTCCCTCACTTTCTAAAGACCTGAAGAGCCTTTTCCTTCTCAGCGACCCTCAGATCAGTCCATAGCAGCCTGTCCATCCCCACAGCCACTGTCCTATTTTTGGCCCTCCCTGTGTCTGGCCCATCTGTACTCCCATCTTCATCCTTGGGCCACACGCCTCCCTCCAGTTCTCGTGAATGCTTTGCATGATGGCCAGATGGGTCTTTAAATGCTGCTTCGAAAATGTCACTTTTCTCATAAAAATCTTTCCCTCTTGTCTCAGGGTATTCAAATCCCGCTGACTCATTTCTCTACGATTTTACTCAATGAATATCTAAGCACTGGTGTTTCGCTGTTGGCTGTGGCTGGTGAAGAGCAGCCCAGATACATCCATTTTAACTCCACACACAAAGCCATTTTAAGTATCTGGGCCAACAGTGCCCTTCCTGGGTGACGAGGATGAGAAGGTGCTCAGGAGCACACGTGCTGTGGGCATGTCAGCCATCTGTCCTGCGAACCCGAGTGCGGGAGCTGGGTGCCAGGGGCTGTATTCTGGGCCCCTCGGTTGCAACATGAGCCAACACACCCAAATCCCTGCTTTTATGAGCATATGATTTTGACAGGGGCCTGAGGGGAAGAAGCCCCACGTCTTCAGTGTGCAGGTCAGCCTCTGCAGGAGATCTCTTACGTGGCGTCATCAAATAATAGAGAACCACGACCAAAAAGTCATCTCAAGGAGTTTTCGTGTAACAACACTGTCTTTGGAAATCACGTGTGTGTGAAGGCAGAGATTATAACTCTCATCTCCTTAATGGTTTTGGGGGCCATTTTTGATTGTTGGGATGAAAAGCAAAGGCCTGTGGAGGAAACAAGAACAAATTCTGGAGGTGGGGTCACTGGCAGTCAGTCTCTGAAGGTTTTACATCTGACAATGTAACACTGGCCTCTGGAAGGCCTGGACTTCATATCCCTGAAGGTATCCCAGCCTCGCTGTCATGCAGCCAGATGACACTGGCCCAACTCTTTCCTGGTCTGTTCCAGCCCAGGGGACTGCTGGGGACTGAATCATGTTTCTCCCAAGTGTGCATGTTGACACCTTGATTGGAGATGGGCTCTCTGAGGAGGTAACTATTGTTAAACAATGTCATAAGGGTGAGGCTCTGGTCCCATAGGACTGGTGACCTGGGAAGAAGAGGAAGAAACAGCAGCTCTCTCTCTCCCCTCCACGTGAAGACACAGTGAGAAGGCGGTGGTCTGCAAGTCAGGAAGGGCGCTCTCTCCCCAGAGCCTGGCCACGCTGGCACCTTGAGCTGACTTCCAGCCTCCAGAGATGTGAGAAATAACTGTCTGTGGTTGAAGCGGCTGGTCCGTGGGGTGTGGTGTTCTGTGATGGGGGCCCAAGGTGACCAAGGCATGGCATCTTCAACCAGCAGTCCAAAGAAGGCCCTGACAATGGTCCTCCTCTGCTCTGCTCCCTGGTGCTCTGGGCTCCCCCACAGTGTGTGCTTCTTACCTGCCCGCCTCCATGAGAAGCTTGGCTGTGAGGACTCCAGGAATGGGTCATGTCGTCCTTTGACCCCCTGGGGTACTAGCCAGATTCATTCCTCATGCTATGAAAAGTAATATTTGTTGACTGACAAAAAAAACTGGTCTGCCAGTTGATTAGCCAAGTGGTATCTGGTATGCTGAAATAGTTTGTTTTTACCTTGGTTTCAGAATTGGCAAAGAAACATTGAGAATATTCTGTACACAATTCTGGCTATTTTGAGATATGAGAGTTGTTTATTTTCTCCTGGAATGATCCGGAGGGTCACTTCTGCCCTTCAATTGGTGCGTGAACATAAAACGGAGAAGCAGATGCCAAATTCTACAAAAGGTGCACTTTAATTTTCTTTGAATGGAAGGTGTTTTATCAATAAAATTAAAATCCCATTAAATTCTCTGGTACTTGACCAGGGTGCTTCATCTTGCACCCTTTCTTTAAAATTGTTTAATCACTTCTTAGTAAAAGAAGGGGAAAATATCGGTGGAACCCAAAATGATTTCTTTCTGCTCTCCTGGTGTTCTTTTCTTCATTCTGTATGAAATTAATTTCGAAGAAAGGAGCTGAACTCTTCGATTGAGGCCACATAATTTAGTGTGAAAGCAAGATTTTCAATTAACTGCAATAACCTGGACTTGATCAGAAAATAAAGCCATTCCTGCTGAAGCTACCAGGGATTAACACTTTTTAATTGTGCTCATAGAGAGAGTGTGTGTATGTGGCAAAATAATCCGAAGGCGTTTCCATTTCTAACCTAAAATGACCCTGTGCTTAATTTAACCTGTTTGATGAAGGTCATGGAATCATGAGTTACCTTTGGGTTAAATTATAAAACCGATTTTTCATTTGGATGACGTTGTAGGGATATTTTGCTTATGCAATGGTAAGGTGCAGAAATCTACTATCCATGATGTTAGTGATGTCTATCTGAACTTCACAAATATATTTTGAAAACTGTTCTGATGTTATTTCATTAAATCGCTACATGTGGGTTTACAGGCCACATTGCAAGCTTGTTGGGCAGTGTCATGTACCTCAGCCTCACCTCACCGGTGCCCTCGGCTCGGGCTCTAGAAGCAAAGGAGACAGAAGCAATGACTTAATTGTTTCAGTAATTTTGGCAACTGTGTCCTTCCTCAGCAAGGCCAAATTGGCACACGCAGAATGACCAAGATTGTTGACATTATACAAGTTTTTCCTGGATTCTTTATTTCATTAATTACTTGAAAAACTTCTGCGTTGTCAACTTCACTCTCTTGAAATGACTTTACATGTCTTCATGCAGCTGGGACTACATTCAGGTGCAAGTCACAGAGAGAACCATTCATAGACGTAGTCACGATTGACACTGTATTTAGTTCACATAAAAGTAAGTGCCAACAAGGGGAATTTGGGGCTAATGCAGCCTCTTAGTAACATCTTCAAAGACCTAGTATCATTGTCTGGTTTGTGATCCATCATCTCCACTTTGTACTTTTTATTCTCAAAGTTCTAGGATGCTTGCTGCTGGTCCAGGCGGCTCAATGTTCAGGTTTAGAAAAAGGAAGGAGATTGCCGTTCAACAGACATAAAGTTTCAGTTATGTAGGATGAGCTCCAGAGATCTGCACATGGTGCCTGTAGTTAGCAAGACCGCATCACGCACTGAAGAATGTTAGAGGCAGATCTCGCATTAAGTGTTCTTACGACAAGGAGAGAAAACAAGCAAGCAAGCAAGCAAGCAGGAAAGAAAGAAAGAAAGAAAGAAAGAAAGAAAGAAAGAAAGAAAGAAAGAAAGAAGGTAGTAGGAAACTTTGGAAGTGGTAAGTATGTTCCTCACGCCAGCGATAATCAATTCTACAATTGAGTTATCAATTATAACTCGATAAAGCTATTAAAAAGAAAAGGGAAGTGTCCAAAGCTTTCTCCTAAAGAAAACTTATTTTTTTTACATTTTTTCCTTTCCTTTTAAATCATATTTGGAAGGTGCTGTCCTCCCAGGAAAATCTGCTTACCTCTCATAATCCAGAACTTTGTCACATGTTCACATCCTAGTGCAAAGGAGTCTGAGAATCAGCTTTTTGATCTCTGTGGCGGAGGAAGCAAAGGACGGTGGCTGGAATGGTTTTGGGGTGGCAAGTGCAGCCCTCTGCCATAGTGTCTTCCAGGTATGTGGTGTGAGAGGCATAGAGGAAAGTCAAGTTGTATGTTTATCTCATTACTTTGTTGACTTCATCCAAACAAAATTCCAACAGGAAAAAAAAAATGCCAACTGATAAATAGTTTGCTAGAACTAAGAATCAAGTGAAATGAGCTGTGTTGCAAGATACTTAATGCCTAGAATCCTCGGATCCTCTGTTGGAAAAAATGAGGTTGTGCACTTGGTTGATGTTCACAGGAATCGCCTGGTGCACCACTCTGTTTGTATGAATTCCTCTTGCACATTGAATCTAGGCTTTGCCCAGACCTTTGGCCAACCAGGCATCAAAACACATGGAACCAGCAAGCAACACAAGAAGCATGGTGTGAGCTTGTGCAGGGGCAAGGCTGGTGGACCGGAGCTTCTATTCTGTGAAGAGTCCTTGGCAGGAAGTCCTTCTGGAAAGAGAGGTACAGATCCTCGCTGTTCCAGCTGAGCCCAACGTCTTGCCAACTTGTGAGCTAAGTGCAGCTGCATGTGTAAGCACAGGCTA